ACCCACACTCTAGAGACAATCTTACGTTGATTGCTTGAGTAGAAGGAGAATTATGATAGATGAGAATGAATTGCGCGTAAGTCGTTTTTGAGCTCTATAACTTTGGAAATAATGAACATTCTAGATCTGTTAACGGCTCATTATGTAGCACAATATTTCCGGTTTGGATACATCTAATTTCATTGAAGCTCATCAATCATCTCTCGTAGTGTGACCATTTCACTGTAATTGTTAGTGTGAAGAAAAGTCATCTGGTGTCCTTTTGAGACAAGGATGCAGTAGTAATTCAATGAATGAAGCTCTAAATCTCACCAAAGCTACCTCTTATAGTTGAACATCCGTGCCAATAAGTTTTATAAACGAATTGTGAATTGGTGAGAAATAATATAGCTGTGGTTATGGTGCTAATGTGATGGGCCGAAAGATTCGGAAACATGCAGAGATGTCAATATTCAAGCAAGTTGACTCTTATTTTGGTGTAGAATCATCATAGAATGAGCTTTATTTTCATTCAAAAACATCGGCAATCAACCATGTATTTAGTAAAAGATAATCCAAAAGTGCGTAGATAGTGTTTTTCAGGTTGAAAAGCTTAAATTAAGAAACAAAAATGTCATCCAATCCAATCCTCATTCTACCTAAGCAATTAATGCAGATTTGAGTCTCTGACATATACTCTTGACGAAGTAGTTGCACACAATATTCCAAGTCTCAAACATTCAAAATGCCAGTAATCCTCTAGGGAGGAAACTTTTGTCGTCTATTATATATGATGATCAACCATATTGGTGTGGCCCACCATAAATGTTTTCGAAAAGTTCAACTTATAAATTGAATTTTCATCGTTGTAGAGTTTTAGAACTACTTGGTGGTTCGTATGTATGAATGATTTGTGGTTGTCAGAATTATTACCATTCATTCACAAAAAAGGTTCCACAGATTTTTCGTTTCTTTTATATTTTACATTTTGCGTCGTTCAGTGCAATAAGTTAGAGAAATCGATTCAATAAAAAGACTTGGTTTGATTAATACACTGCAATCTTTTTATGATTATAAACTTTTTTTTAAATAAAAAATAGAAATTCTTATTTTTTCGATATTCATTTCACAAAAATAAATCGAAAAGCCGCCAAAATATCCTAAGATCAGAGTCGAAACTCTCACTTTCACTGCATGCCTTTTCAAAAATTATTTATGTTAAATAAACAGATTTAAAATTGCTATTGCAAGTCGTGACGGCTAATCGAATTTTAACCAAGAATTTAATATTACTTTCCACTACTACTGACTTTGATTAAATTGCTTTGTTTTAATATTATCATCATCATGTTTTAACTTTGACGAAACAATAACCTGACAACGTTCTCAAAAAAAAATGGTAAATATTCACCTGCATATGGTTTCTCGACAAAAGCAAATATTAAAATGAAAGTGAAATAAAAAAACATGCTTATACTCCTCATTGCAGTCATAAAAAGAGTTATTCAAATATTGATATTCTGAAGATAGACAAAACTTTTGAATAGTAGACTTTCTCCAGTGAAAGTCAGAAGAACGTTAAAAAAAAGGTAGTTATTTTACATGTATTAAAGCGGCGTGCGTGTGATGGATGAAAACCAATTAAACAGCAATTATCAATAGACATAAAGATTAAATATCAAAAATATTCGATCATTGGTTGGATGATATCTATGATTTCTTTGTTGGAAGTTAATATACATCATGAAAAAAGTGTATCCACACGAAATTGCGTACTTCAGAGAAGTTGTCTGATTATTTTAGTTGTATTTCTAAAGAGAAAGAGAAAGAAAAAGATTATATATCTAATGCTTAAGTACATATTTATCTTTGATAAGAAATTCATTGTTTTTTTCTATAAAGGAAGGGAGCAAAATGCATTTGCTATTGCTGTTGTCAAACAAATTCTATATTACTGAAGTGGTGCATCCAAAATGGTAACACAAGGTAAACATTTAAAGTTGAATGAGAAACAACTCTCAAAAAGAAAATATAATCATTAAAAACTTGTTAACTTTGTTACTACTTACTTTTTCCATCGAATTAAGTAATGCCGACTTAGTAAGCCAAGAACATGTAAGGAAAAGTGATTCTCTTGCCAAGTGAATTATCATTCTACCATAGTTTTTCTTCGTTTTGAAGATCATTGGAAAGAAAATAATATAATTTTTCAACATATTGACAATAAAGTCATTTTGAGAATATATATATTGCTTTTTACTATTTAAAAAACACGATAAAATGATTCCATAATGACAAAAAATCCATTAAAATAAGAGGTCGATTGCGTGAATATGCGAGTATCTAGAACTACGACAATATCTTCATATTCACTTTACTGCCAAAATTTTTCTAGCAAGCGATATATTTCTGAATATTTCTATGAAGAATGGGCAAGTCTAGAGAAGCATTTGTTCAAGTTTGAAGTCGAGTTGTCTAACTATTATTGAACTGTGTCTTACACGATCAGAACAACTCAATGAGCTTCAATCGCACTTTCAGCGTGTATAGCCAGAGTATAGGGCTACAAAATGAGGGAACTCTCGACCCATAAATCTTTTTCTTCCTGAGTCGTGAAGTCCACAACGGTAGCAGATCAAATGAATTACTACTCTGTTGTACTTCATGTTATTGTGGCGTGGATTTTGCTGATGATCTACGTTCGTCGAGAACTATGTATATAACTACTTTTAGAATCACAACTCTTGTACTGACTGAGATCCGGAGGGGGAGGAACTTTTGACCAGTATAATGTATGTGTTCAACTTGAACTCAATTATTGAATACTTGAAACTTGAAAAGTGGACTTGCACGTATTCAGTTATACAATTCATATAAGATGCTTAATGCGAGTTTGAATATACATGAAATTCCTACAAATCGATATCACTCCAAACATTCATTATTTTACAGAAGTGTTTTTGCCTGTGTAACCAACCTTCTATGTCAGTCTAACGACTCCAGAGGAGCCACAATCAATCCTTATTTCTGTGTGCACAGTGAACTAAGTGTCGGTAATTTCTTCAATCGCACCTCTATCCCAACCTAGATTAAATCTTTGACCATTATATTCATTCTAATGTGAGTACCTTTATCGTAATTATAATTATAATTATCGAAATGTAAAGACTTTGGCTTTGCCTATGTAGATGCCGATGAAGTTTCGAATTTTCGTTTTTGAAGTCGAATTAGACAGTTACTCACTGTTTCAGTATTCAACTTGTCGCACAGTACGGAGACACAGGAATACCAAATCCATCTCAATGTGAGTGTCAAAGCAATACACAAAAACATACTAAAAGTTGAGCAATTTGACAGTTGAATACCTGAATATGAATTTTGAATACTTGAATTGAAGAATTCAATTATAAAGCCGGATTCTATTGAGTAATTCTATTAAAATAGGTATTACAAGTATAGATTTAAATCGTCATGATTCATCTATTATGTATACACAATTACTGAAAGAGGTACTTCTCCAAATGGAAGGCGATGATAAAGCAAAGAAAGAATTATTCCAATTTTGTCGTAAAACGAATATAGGCATATTAGGAAGAATGAAAATCATCGGTGAATTTGAAAGATATTATGATGCACATACACCCATCTGGTGGTACACTAGAGATTCTTTTATACATGATATGATTAATCGAGTATTACGATTACAAGATATTAATGCCATTATTCAAACGCGACTCTTTATACAAGATCTTCATCAACAAATCGAACGATTGTATGAACCGCCATCTAAAAAAATGATCCTATATCGAGGTCAAGAACTATCGTACGGAGATTTTCAGCAGTTACGTCAGCTGAAAGGTGGTCTTTATTCATTTCATTATTTTCTCTCGACAACTATGGATCGGGATGCAGCTCTTACGTTTGCTCAAAAAACTCGACAGGATTCTCGTTTGATTGGTATTATTTATCA